TTTCACTCGTAGTTTGACATTCTGAGTGAGCCACCAATGGTGCAATCTGCGTCGCGCATTCAACCACTTCTGCAACTCTCTCCACAACACCACCTGCAGGCAATGTTTGCGTCGACTGTGTCAGTGTCACTACCAGGTCGGAGGAACGGCGGGATTCTTCAGCTGCGATCATCGAAGTTGCTGCATCCTTACATTTTTTCTTTATCCCTACACTTTTGTTCCTGTAATGTGATGAATTTAGGTTTTCGGTTTTGCTGTCTTTTTCCGTTGGTCCTGTCGTTTCTATTTCGACCTTGCTGAATGCATCCTCAGTTTGGACGTCTTCTTCCTGCGTTTTTGGGACTATATATGTGTAGATGTGGTATTCTTTTATTTGAGAACTACAATTCTGATTCACTTTTTTATATATCCGCGAATGTTCTGCTGGATGATTTTTCTGCTTTCCCATTTCGTTGAATATCATGTGTTTTCGTACGTTTCCGATTTGTTGGTTCTCTCTTTCTTTGGTGCTCGTCGGCTCTATTCTTGTTTTGTTGTCTGGGATTTTAATTTTTGCCAGGTATCGTTTTTCTCTGAAACAAATCGCGTTCGTATGACCAGTCGGGGTATGCTGTATTTTTCCGAGTACTCGATACTTTCGATATCGTCTTCTTTTATCCAAAACGTTCAGTTTCTTACTTCCTGCTTCCTTGGTTTCTTGGTGTTTTTGTGTGTTCATAATTCCCTGCAAATTGTTGCCAGACGTAATTGAATTTTCCATGATAGCGTGAGGCAAGTTCACTGTTTGTGTTGTATTGATGATGTGGGGTACAGCAATCACCTCACCCTGTTTTACTGGTGATGCAGACGTACTTCGTTTTGGGCCCCAAAGTTGTGGCGGTTCAAGTCCAAAACTAAACCTCGACCTCGTGTCCGTGACCTCGACAACACTGCGCTCTGAATGGCGTCTCCTGCGTTTTGGTAGCTGCATGAAGTGACTTTCAACATGACACGTTTGGCTGATTACCGAGTCATTTAATCCCAAACCAGGTCCGTCTCCGAAGACAACGTGGGTCATCGCGTCGTCAGTTTTTCCTGGTCTTTTAAAACCAACCAAAGTTCCGTCCTTTGTTTGCGTCAGCAGAATCAACAATTCTCCAATCGAATCACGAAGCCCTTCAACTTTAAGCGAAACCTTTTCCGCCTCCCTTTCCATCCAAATCTCAAATGGAACACAGGGCTTTGCAAGTAGCTTTCTTCTTTGTGCTTTTCCTACCCATAAAGTGGCCGGACTAATCCGTACTGAGAGGCAACTATCCTTGCCTCTCACGATTACCCTCGAAGCCTTTGTCTCATTTACTTTACCCGCCTCAAGGAGTCGATCGTAATGACCTCTGGCAGTAGATGGATGGTCACAGGTGACATGAAAGGACGTTATTGAAGCCGTATTCACCTTACCACAGTCAATATCGGGTGTCAAATTGTTGTCGCCTTTCAATATTCCTGAGGTGCCTCTACCTGATCCCATCTCTCGATTTGGTACTAGAGAAGACGAGGGTTTCCCGTGATCAACCTCGTCGACTGCACCAAATGAGAACATGTCAGATGTGAATGACTTCGTCCAATGTTGTGCACAAGTGTGATCACCTGTGGATGTGGGTGTCAAGAAGGCCTTCAACTTCTGCACTAAGACCCGGCCAGCAGAATTCGAGGAAATTTCCTTCCCAAGTAGTTCCACTTCCGAAGCCAGATGTTCTAACTCTTGAATAAGCTGATCACTTTGTTCTCTAAATCAAAAATGTCAGTAATCGACTGATTTATCAACTTACATCAGGCACTTCACCGTGTCGAATTGGAGATCATCTTTTTCTTGAGACCTTTTATCATTCTGCATTCTTCTAGTCTGCGACCGTGCATAACTATAGCGCCGCATATGTTCCTAGAGACAGAGAAAAGTGTTCAATTCATACTGGCATCACTCTCTCAAAAACAGATTTAACTGTCTGGGCCAGCATATAACACCGACACTCCCCGTTCGACCAATTTTGTTTTCTTCAATGTCTACTTGATTGCTTCTAGCACTTGTTGGAGACTAATGTGAGCTGTGTATTGTTATACACGAGGTTTCTACGAAATTTCTGCAAGTCGGCAAGATCACACTATTGGTTCCCTGCCTTCAACTCGTGAATTGAGCTACAATGTAATGATCAATGATCACTCCTAAGTTAATTATGACGCTTCCAGCATGCATGACTCACCTTCAGTTTTCGTAGTATTAAAAAGCACTCATCGAGTTCCACGTTGGAGATGTCTTCAGAACTACCTGGTTGTGTTCGAGCGACTAAACAAAAGAGAGACGCTTGATCACGAGCAATGACACTACCTTCTTCAGAATTTCGCAGCTCAGCCCTTGCTAGGGAAGTTTTCCGCAAAATTTCAGCATTCGTTGGGCTGCCATGGATCTGGGGAAAAGCAGACTCCAATTCATCTAGAAACTCTCGAATTCGCTGTCGGTTCTCGAACGTGATTTCCTAGAAATAACCGTAATTCTTATTTGCGTGGGAAGGTTTTTTGCTGATCAGTTACAGGCTATGTGTTGTAAATCACCTCATACTTCGTGACCTTCTCAAGAACTGTCGAGAAATGCAACAATCCAAGAGACAGCCAGTCGTCGATTTGGCTGCGCCAGACATCGAGGAAGCCCTCATAAATCCTAAAAAGCAAATTAGTACTTATTTCTAGCTTCAGTAGTGTGTGGTAGTCCAAATTAGTCATAGTTAACTTACCAAATAGTGCGATCTACAGATTCTTGGTCGCTGCCGATTGGTCTAACGTAGACTGATGGAACATTTATCTGTTTATTACTCGCTGGAGTCCGAACGGTTAGCATTGGTTGGAACGCAGACACGACGTTTGAAGCTGACCACGACCCCAGAATGTGAACAGACTGGCCCCGTTTGAGGTACTCACCGTGGCATTCATCGAGAAACTCCCTCAACATAACCCCAGTGGATTTATGCGAAATCGCGCCGTCCAGCAGCGGAGTGATTGACTTCGAAGCGATGTGCAGTTGATCCAATTCGGCCAAGTTCTGCTTAATACTGCTCAGCTTCGCCTGATTTAAGTTGGAAAATAACACGTTCAATTCATCATTTCTCTTCAGCAAGTTCAGAAAACATTCTGAAATTTAAACGGGTATTTCCATAGTCGCTCGAGAGAAATTATACCCCTAAATGCAGTTAGTAGTATGAGAGCACCATCGGACCGCTGTGCAACCAGTCGTCCACTAAGAATTCTAATGTCATTTATAGTTTGAATTGAAACTCAAAGTGAGTTTCTAAAATACAGATAATCACGTGCAAGAAGAATGCTTATTTTTGAAATTAAAATGCAAAAAAAAACAGGTGAAAGTAAGGTAACGCACTTACCTGCAAGAAACTGCCGAACCTTACTTGTTCTCCTGCAACCCTGTAAAGTTCCGTCTCCTCTTTCACTTGCTGCCAGAACTCATCGTGCAGGAAGCTAATTCGATCACATTTGAGTTGGAACTAAAAATTTGTAAGAAAAAAATACAAATGAAACACTAACACAAAAACCACATTACTAAATCACCTCATTTCCAAATTCTCGCTCATCGGAGTTTCTCCTGCGATGGGGAAAAGGCAACACATCAATCACATGCACTTCGTTCCCGAAAGTTACGTCTTGAAATGGCATTCTGAAGTGACGTCTTGTGGCTTTGTGTTAGCAATGAAGCAGAACTACTGTCAAAATATGTGAACGCGTGAATCTATTTGCCGAGAAGAAAAACTATCGTATGACCCAGCATGCAACATTTGACTCGGGTTAGGAATCTATCCGCAAAAGACCTACTTGTTTTGAAGCAAGTGTTATTTTTCAACATTTAATCAACTGGGATAATTGTATCAGTTATATTTACTTAGATGTACGTAATCAACGTCTGCGCCGTCAAAGGGTGTCAAACTGTTGAGGATTCAGCATTCCTAAGACTGCCCTTCAACATTTGTTTACAATTTTTTCTCTGTTTCAGTGCCCTTCATGTTATGCACACCAATTTTTGTATTCATATCAGCCGCTGCGTTCCTATTGGTCGATCTGCCTTTGAGCGTAGAATGTCTCACATGCACTCAAGTCCTCCCACGCCACACTAAAGTGGGCGCGTGTGAACGTGCACTCGGCCTTTGGCTTAGGCAGTAAAAATCTGCCCGCACGAGGTCCTGTCCTAGTTGGAGAGGCGCTGACTCATACGTGTTTTGTCCGAGTGCCAATACAGGGAGCCCTTTGACGCGCTAAACCTATCGCCCTGGGTACCAGCAAACTGTAGCGGGAACGCAGAGGCGCCAAAATGCCTCCAAAACAAGTAGCGCTAGGACATTTTACCCCAGAAAAAGATCTTGGCGCCACGTTGTCGGTCAGTACTACCCAAACGCCCGGTCGATAGATAGTATGGATCATTCTGGGTGCAGAAGTTTCAGTTGAAGCCTGCTCGTAAATGAATAGCCAGAGAGTTCCACAAGTAGATAATGACTACATGCTGTCTATGACATAGTTAACACTTTAACATGGGTCTCCGGTTAGTCGCGAATGTATGGCTGGGCGTGATTCCAGAGTAAGTGTGGTAGCCAATAAGATTTGAGCAGCCCGAACAGCCTGAGGTGAGTGATCACATGCCTAGGACCAAGCTATCAGTTTGGTTCAGAGGGTAAAACTGAGGCGCCATCAACCACCTCGCAACTACAACCAGCGACAAATCCTTCATCTCTGTATAATAGGGGAAAACCTTGTGGGCACGTCCCAATAATTCGTGTTATTTCCAACCAAAAGGTCCAGACTGAGTAGTCAAGGTTTTCCTGCTATGCGTGTCGAATAGTGGTTTGTTTAAATGCGCAGCTTCGTGTAAAAGCGGGTGCCACCTTTTCTGGTGGCCTAATGCCGGTATATTTATAAAAATTGACGGTTTTTCACTCATCAAAAAATGCTGTAAAAACTCAGGAATAGAAAAAAGCAATCTAGCGATCTGTCCAGTGGCCCCGATTTAGAAGACGTAGTGAAATTCTACATTTCAATTAGGTGCATGACTTAAAATCTACAGATTCTTCCTTCGGGCTTAAACTTGCATCTAAAATCGATGTATTTCCTCGATCTTTGTTGTTTTGAAAGAATCGGACACAAGGTTTCACAACACCGAACGGCAAGTCTATGCGAGTCACGTAATCTCTCAGAATAGCACAGTTTGCCATGACAACTGATTAACAGCACATTCGTTGGCACTGCATTTTATGCAAATTCTAACAACACGGAGAAATGTTTCTAATGCGAGGGGAACTAATTTGTGGTGTTCTTGGTGCACATTTTGTGTCTTATGCAATTTGTCATTGTGGGGACAAACGTTGAATCGGAAGTAGTGGTTTCGAACTTTGTGACTGGTTTGTAGATACGGAATGGCAGGCTCTACTAGATAAAGACTTTAAGCAAACGCAACAAGAGCTTGCAGTAGTTCAGTTGGGAGTCACCCAAGCAGGTATATCCAAGCGTCTGCACCACCACATGTCAAAAAAACCGATAATTTGGGAGCCCCACATGTGCTGACCAAATACAACCATGGTCAGGGTACGAACACATGCCTTTCACTGCTTGACCGCCTCGAACAAGCCAGTTAATGGATTTCTCGCGGAATTGTGAATTGATGATGAAAAGTATATGCTTTTTTACGGGAATCTCAAACGCAAAACGTCGTGGGTAGATTCCGCGTAACCCAGTACGTCGACACTGAAACAGGACATCCACTTGAAGAAGGTTCTGCTGAATATCTGTTAGAGGGACATAAAGGGTGTACTTTATTACGAACTCTTGGAAAACAGTCGTTAGGTGGTGACTGAGCAAGCCTAAAGCCGATAATTGAACAAACCTAGCGAAGAACCTCATGTGATGAGGCCATTTACTGTTCAAGGAAGCAGGCAAGTAACTTGCGTGAATATCATGATCGTGAATTTACCTAGGATAAACAGAGTACATTAAGAATATTACCTGGTGATAATTGGCAGCATCTTTTACGTGGAATTGCAATGCGAAGGCACTGTTCTGGACCTTGCTCCAGTCCGCCTTCAGGGCTTCCTCGGATTTCTGAAAACATTCAAAGTCCCAATAGAAACGACGGCTACCAAGCCCCTAGTTTGGCTGGTATCAGTGGGGCATGAAATGTTAACGTCTAAGTTTATCGAATAAACAAAACCGACTTACCTTGTCCGCGATCCTGTAGGAGTTTTTGACATGGCAGGAGGTAATAGCGCGGGTGGATATTTGAGTTGCAAGTTCCTAGGGAAGGAGAGGTGGACATGCAGCATCCAACTCATGACCTTGTGGTCTCGAATAGGCTAGATACCCGGGAATACTAAAGCCAGGGATTCCGGAGACATCCGTTTGCAAGATGGCTCAGCCTAATTGAGCCGTCGTGTGTGTTTGTGCGTGTAGTCTAAATCATGAGTTTTTGACCAAAACTGTCTCGGTGACCTTATAAAAGTACAAATGCCTGAATGGCCAGGTGAGTGGACTGAGTTGAGGGGGGGAAGCATTGGTAGGGTGTGAGCAGACAGGAGACGGCCGCCGTGAAAAGGGGAGGTTAATGGACTCTAATAACTACAACCCCCTTTCTGGTGTCTGCGCTTAGAAGTTAATTTTTTAAGCTGTTAGCTTATCCCATGGGGAAATTCGGCCACACGAACAGCTCTTCACATACTGACTAAGCATGCTTCAACCCACATCAAATTAGGTTTTTTGGGGAACAACACTCCAAGGTCCACTCAAGTCAATCCATCATCGCGTGAAACGCCTAGTGTGGCACACGCAATGTAACGGTTTTCAAGGCAGATCAGCTGTGGCCACGTGATTTGGAAGCAAAGATAACCTGCTATCTTCTTGGCACAACTATGGGGTAGTCATTTAGCTAAAGCGTGTTGCCAGGATGAAGCTTCTGTCTGCTTGTCCAATCTCTTTCAGTGTGTGGAAACAAGCAACATTAAAGTGTTTTCATTCTTTAAATAATTTTTTTCTGCTTTCTAGTTGTCTGGAGACATTAACGGAGCATCGGCTTACCGAAAAAAGGTTCTGCAATGACGAGATTTCCTGGAATCCGCCGCCAGAATCGTATCCGTAGGGCTAAAATTTAGCAAAAACTAGAGGTTAATGTTTATTTCAAACTATTACTTGTAGAAACAACGTGCTGCTTTACTCTAACCATCCGCCTGTGTCTAGCTATTGTACGCACGGATCAAGTTACAAGAATGTCATTTCTCCCTCAAACCGAGAGATGACGGTCAACAAACACATTTTCACCATATCTTTGGGGATTTTGAGCAAGTTGAACAAGCTATAATTAGGAATCACCCAAAGGAACAGTTTTTTGCAAAGTTTGACGGAAATGGTTTATTGAATAAGGTGGAGTGTGGATCTAACCCGATGTGGGGACACTTGCATGCATAAAATTTTGCTCAAAATGATTTTTAACGCACGAATGCAAGTGAAGTTTGAAAAAAAACCAAAGATCATCTTGCAATTAAGTAGTGCTAGAAGCCAAGTTGAGTGCCAATGGTAAGCAAATAACTATTGCTAAAGTAGCCAAACAGTATACGACCCGCTGCCTCACCATTCTATGTTTATGTACATTCAAGTATTCACCCAGATAGAGACAGTTCAGCGGTCAGCATGAATCAGCTTCCTTCAGACTGACCGCCATGCGAAGGAGAATTAAAATTAGACTTCACGTTCAAAAAAAACTTTTTTACCACATCTAATACCCACGTAAGACCGTCTATATTGCAAAACTGATTTTCAGTGGGTTCAAATTGTCGTTTAGGCGATGAATGCATTGACAAAACTGCTGATTGAATTGAAATACTTCAAGGTGTGCCTACTAAGATGTTGTGTGTGCTACTTGGGGAGGATTAGATATGTTAAAACAAATGTAAAAAGCCATTTATCCTGGGGCAGCGACCATAATTTAGGAGTTGGCTGTAACCTGGTGAGAATTTGGATCAAAATACTACTCTCGAGTCTGCGTAGATAGTAGTAATGGACTTACAGTCTTACTGCTTTCTGGCATGCTATCAGGCATCGTGTCACAAACTTCAAAACTTCAACTAACCTCAAATGTAGAGAATGTATCAGGTAGCATTCCTAGTTGAAATGAAGTGTCTTCTGTGCGAACCTTTGTTTTATATGAAAAATGTACAAATGCTGGTTTTTGTGTTCACTGAACTGCTTGTACACCGCGTGCGGGCTATCTGTGACCTTAGTCTGACCTAGGTATCCGGTTCAGCTCGCGCAAGAGATCCGAAATATGGGGCTTATAGGGCTCTCTTGAATGCCTACAACACAACCACTCAGAAGTCTACGCACACCCAAGTTTGCGATTTTTACGGTGATTTGCGTGTCTACTATGCAGACATTTTGCCTGTTTAAATAAACAAGACTTCAGCAACTATGAAGATGTCTGTTAGCAATTGGAATAGTTGACTAAATTCGTGGACAAATGCAGAGAAAGCGTCGAATAGCCATTTATTGTTTCCACGCATCCTGCCAAACATGGTTAAACGGCAGAAGATAAGTAAGTCATGAAATAACCATTTGCTAACGTAGCTGTTTTGCCATCTCCACGTTCAGCGACCTGAGTAGCTCGCTTATAACTGTATTCCAAGGCCCGCAAATCTTGAAACTCGATGCTTCCTCTAAAAGAGAGAATTTGCAAATTTTCACTCCCCTGTCAATCATGTTCATCGCAGTACGCATGACTGTCGGTACATCTGCGTTATTGCCGAAAATTGTTGACCTTATCACAAGGTCTCTGTTCTGGCATTTCTGTTCGCGTTCAAGAGCATATTTTGTCGACTTTGGCAAAATTTCCTTCATTCACAAGATAGAGGAACAAGGGCGTGCTGTTCATTCTGTTTTTATATTTAAAAATGCAATTACGCCAACTTACCTTCTTCAACTTCACTCTAAATTTCGACAGTTTGTAAATTTGCATTGCTTTGTACATACACCCAAACTCGAGTCGATTTTTGCTTTGAAAAACATGGCAACTTCGAGGCTGTTTGTTAACGAGGACAAACAGAACTGACGAATTAACACTCTTAAATGATGAATACCCCACAGAACTACGAAAAACGTTCGGTACTTGCGTGGGAACGCCTAATGGTGACACTTATTTTATTTGTGTATCAATACGCTAAGAGGATTTGTGACGCAACCAAACCTGTTGAAATATTTTTTGATTTTTTTTAAATTTTGCTTTAACCAGCCTATGGGCTTGAAACGACTCGCTTACGGTGTGTACCGTACACAAGCATGTTGTGGGCCCCAGCACGTGGTCTTGAACCACGCCGGGGCCACGGAATTAACCCTGGCCCGATTACGCTTACCTGATGCCCGCGATGAAAAGAAAGACCGGAGAGCACGGGACACAATCGTTTACTTCAGAGCTTAACCAAAACTGGTGTCGATGTGTTGTGTGTGGGGTTTGCGCGTGTGTATTTATAGCTCGGATGTGTGAGTCATACATGCGCCAACATCGAGACCTAGGTGTGAGGATACTCCAAGATAAATATTCGTGCTAATGAAGGGGGAGTTAAGGATTCGCACGACTGGCGACATGCAGCGAAAAGGGGAACCCTGTGTCGGAGGTGGAGCGACCGGATTAAGGGGGTGAATAAACACGATTCACAACAAACACATTAAAATAGGCGTACCCTGAGACCTGTCATTTCGTGTGGGTCTTAGAATATAAATGATACATGTCTATCAACTACTAGTTTTCCTGCTTTAGTGGGCTTAAATTGCTCTTATTTTTAGAATTTTGAAACTCAGTTACTTTTCACGAAGGAGTGAGTGAACAGAGGCTCAAATGCATGAAAAAAACTTTGCCGCTGTGAGCCCAGCAATGGTAAACTTGGCACCCATGATTAGGGAAGTATCTAGATTGCTCAATTAGCGTTAGGAGCTGGAAAACAGTACAATGTCGTGGAAGTCGAGTGGATGCCCAGACGTGTCCGTACGGCCTGAGATCGATGAGTTGAGTAATGAACACTGAGTTATGAGTTGAAATTGTAATTGCGTGAACAGACCTCACTGAACAGACGTCATAAATCACGGTGTTAATTTCGTTGTCTTGAGGAATGTTCCCTTCCCCCGCGTCCATTAACCCGGTTGCCGCATTCTCCGCCACGGCGTCCCTATCGATCTCGCCAAGCCGTCTGCTCATTCACCCCTGGGAGTGTACCTCCCCCACACCACCCTTTTCATTCACCTGACCGTCCACCTATTCGTACTTTTACAGATTCACCCAGACTGTGTGGATCAATAACCTCATTTGTGGCGCGACAGACGCCCCTAGGTTGAGCCGTCTAGTAAACGGTTGTCTGTAATTTCTTGTCTTCGCGGGTAGACAGGCGTCTTTGACTTCCCTGGGAATTGAACGATGCGAACTCCTACTCGCAGTAATATTTGGGGAAGATAAGTAACAGGCCCTACATAACTAACCCTCCAACGTAACCGAACCCTGTTAACAAATGGGTTCATATTTCTTGCTAAGACGACTAGATGAGTAGCCAGAATTGGTCTCGTAGAAAAGGAGCCTAACCGTATCACCGCTGTGGGTTTGAAGAAAGAATTCTCTCAGTGCAGTCATGCATCTTCCTTACTGCCAGCGAATCCCGTTCAAGCCAGGAGATGATTTGAAGACTAAGCAAAACCTCACTCGTGCAGCAACACTAAGTAACATCAATGTACATTTCCATCATTCATGTATTAAGGTAAAAGGTGGTTATATAATTTGGGGAGGTGTGAATTGTAATGTACATTTTAAAGTCATTAACAATACTAAATAGTTCCTGTACTAGACAAGTCTTCCTACTCGAAGTTGGGTAGAGTAATCAGGAGGTATGAAAATTGTTTACAAATAATACTTCAATTCGGGGGAGGGGTTTCTGTGTGCATAAGTAGCGTATGGTCAAATCACGGATGTAGCGCTGAGCATAAAAATCGGCCTTTCGAATTAGTGACGCGCACTGCTAGGGAGAGCTTGGGTGGAGTTTCATCAATGCGCATCAGATTGGTGCTGTTGGGAATAATGCGTAGTGTAGGTGGAGGAGGATTCCTGCTGCTGATGGCGGGTAGTACTTGACGTGGCCGTCGACCGATAGCTTTCTTCGCGCCTTTGGCTAACACTCGAAGCGGTTGCGTGGTAATGATCGCCTGAACTAACATCCTGCCGCGTTTGCCTCGAAATTTCAGTCTGCCCGTGATGGTGAACTTGCTGTTGCCTTTCTCTTATCCACCTCTGCACGCCTTCTTCGTCGCTTCTCTCCGGGCCAGTGAATCCACGTATTTCCTCAAACTCGTGTCGCACAGTGCTCACATGTTCGTCTGAGGGGTAATTTGTCGCGGGATAGGTGTAAATTTGGGTTTCTCTTTCGCCTTGCATTCCACTGTCATACAATTCCTGCTCCACGGTTGATGCTTGCTCTTCACTACCTTCCAGATGGCCTTGATGTCTGGCGAATAAAGTGTAGGGGTCACTGTGCTCAAATTCACCAACTTCACCAAGAACAGGTTGGCTAAAGGAGCTCTCAGTTCCGAATTCCGGGGAATGAGAGCCACTGCCAAGACGAGCATGGCGCGTTATGACCGGTGCGTACCTTTCATATTGCCTGGAGTAGTCTCGAAGACTGTCACTGCGTCGAGAACTCTGATAGTATTCTCGCGACTCGGTGGTTGTGAAGTGATGAGTTCGGTGATAGGTGAAATTCTCCTCCGTTTCGGAAACTAAACTGACCGAAGTTGACAAAAGGCGTCGGTTGGAGTTGCCGATGCCCGGCTGACTGAACGGCACCCATTTGTTGAAATTCATTTCCGGGGTAAGTCTGATCCACCCGGCTTGACGAGCCGTCAAGAAGTTGCACCACTGCGTCACTACGTATTCTGAAGATGTGGTCGTCTCTTCACGGTACTGACAGTATGCGGGTCGCGCCGGCCAGTCTACGGCCAAATCACCGGTCTGCCAATTAAAGAGACCAAGTTGGACAGCCTCGTCCGGTTTCAGCCACTCCGACGGTTCACCACCCGGTCTGACAGCTGTCACGTGGTACGCGCGGATTACAGTCTGCTGATGCTGTATGGCTGTTTCTTCAACTTCAGTCTTTTCCTGTTCACGGAGTTTCGCTACCGTGAGGATGTTTTGCGACACGGCTTCCTCGGCTGTAATCCAAACTCCCTCTCGAACGTTCAAGATCCAAGTTAAATGATGTTCGTCTTCCCGAATTAATCCTTCCCTTCGGGCCTGAGCTATGGTCAAGTGCTCTCGAGTAGATGTGTTCAGGACGCACAAGGCTTCCACGCGTTCCTGGACGACAGATTCGCGTTCAATGTACACTAACGATGAGTTTAATTGGCCGGAAGACGTGGCGTCACGTGATGAGGCGAAACGAATTCGGCCCTGGGCAAGTGCTGTCTCCAGTGGAATGGCATGTCCAGTTGTAGGATCTACGTAGTCGTTCCACCTGCCCAAACGGATCCATCCTTGTCGCACGGCGAAGCTCACAGGTGCGAATAGACCAGTTATTGGACTTGCAACCTCCCGAATGTCATTCCAACGTTTGGCGTCGATTTGGCTCACCATGTCGCATAGCTCGTGCTCGACAACACGCTGGCGAAGAGTAATTGGCACGGTTTCAGTCCTAAGGAATGGAAAATGCAGTGGTTTAAGGGACTTGTTTTATCATCACAAGAGTTCGGAATTAATTAGACACTTTGAGACATCCGCGCTACTCGTATAAAACGCACCTTTAGACAGCGTCTCTACACAACCGGGACGAATTAACCTAGGGTTCCAGATAATTCAATCATTCATGACTTTTAACCGTAAAGCAGTGCTGCATAAGAACCATAGCTAAGCACTTAGAATGCTTGTTCAACTTACTCCAAAGGCCTTTGTGGCGTGACCAAGTAGGTTTCGTGCGAACGCCTTAAGTATTCTTCCTCATGGATATCTTCATCGAAGAAGTACGTCGTGATGTCCAAGTCGTGCAGGCAGCTAATTTGCGACTTTTTAATCTTATAAGTGTCAATCTGTTGCTGTAGATAGTCGTATGGAAGTTGGTCTGTTTGCGTGGCCTCCGTCACGGAAGAAAAGAGGACCTGGGTCTTAACGTACATCGGTTCGTCCAGCACGTGTACTTCGTGGATTATTTCCGACTCCGTGACATTCTTGTCCTGCTTGTGCATTTCGTATTTCTCAGTGGTTAACCCAAGGTCTGTCTGATTGCCTACTTCCAGCGTGAACACCTGATCAGTTGGCGGTTGTTGAAATAGGCTAGATTCATGAGAAGCTTTAATTTCCACAACTTCATGTTCTGCAGTTCTGGCACTAGAAATCAACGCACTATCTGGTTGGGTTTGAACCCCAAGGTCCTGGGTTGTAGGAGAAGCAAAGCACTCAGTTTCTGCGATCTGTCCTAGGATAAGCCGCGACTCGTACGTTTCTTCGGCACTTTGTTCACTGTCAGATTTAGCTGAATATTCAAATGGTTCACGAACGACTGTCTCATATGGGAACTGGACGCCAGTTTCTGCTACAGATGGCAGTTCTTCCACGCTCTGGCACACGGCCTCCTTCAAGAAACCCCGATGAAGAACTTCGGTGTAGATTTTGTGATTCAGCTGCGAGAATCCAACGCTTGTGAAATAGTCATTTAGTTCATCGGTTACACAATTACGCCATGTGGAGTTACGAACAACTTGGAACACCTCGTAGAACTCATTTCTGGACCTTTCGTTATGAAAACCGGTGTCACTCGAAAACTCCATCCACTCGATCAAAGGCACCCGTTCAGTCTGCGTCGCGATGGCATGGGAGTCTGCAAATTTGTAGTACGTTTCCTTAACTTCAATTTCCTCGTATTCAAGGTCTGTTCCTTCGTCAACAGGAGCCTCACGTTCGGAAGGTGGTTCAATCAGTAAACACTGAATTGAGCGATGTTTAGCCGGTAAAGGATAGGTTTCAACTGACATATACTTTAGAGATGAAGCGCCAGGAATCTCCTCATCCCATATAAAATCAGTGTCTTCAGTCTGCAGCATAATCGATTTCAGAGCGCGTACATCTGTCATTGTTAAGGATTCCGTCGTAAAGGAGGACTGGGTTTGTGAACCAAGATCAACATTTGAAGGCAGAGTATCCAAGTTTGAGCGAACCAAGGAGACAGGGGGTGCCAAAGACGAGGAAACAACGGGTGATTTCGCCGGAACAGAAGTTACCACAGTAGAGGTTAACGTCGACCGAGACAACATACAAGGTGAACATTGAGTTGAAACAGAAGAAGAGTCAGAATACACAGAAAAATGCGAGGAATCAAAAAGCGGTACTAGAGAAGCAGACGAAGGAACATTCACAGAAGCAATGCAAAGAGGAGATTCCACAAACTCGGTTGACTTAATACCATCAAAGATTTTAGTAGAAGAAACCTGTTTAGAGTAACTATCATGATGAATCACGAGGTCCGGCGTCTGAGTAAGACCAATCTTCACTCCGATAAGCTCCGGCAAAAGGTCAGTTGGTGGTGCCGTGTGCAAAACTGCTGACTGCTCATCCTTCACTACCATCTGGGGGAGCTGAAGCTGTGGTGCGGGTGATTCCAGTGGTGGTGCCGTGTGCACGACAGGAAGCTCTGTGGGCACAACAAGCGACTCAGTCATGAC